CTGCCACCCAGAACTGTGACCTAGATCCAAGCACAGGCAAAGCAAGAGAATCCTGCCTCAACACCAGCAATGAGATCCCTGCCATCCCCCTCTGATCAGCTACTCAGTTGCCCCTCCATCTGTGGGCCAAGAGCTCCAGAAGCAGCCGCTGCCCTGGAGCTACCCCAGGACTGGGCCTGGAACCAATCTTCTCTCTCACCCAACAGACTTTTCCTACTGACCTTCTAAGTTGTCTTTGGAGTTTGTGGGTTGAGAATCCTCCACAGCTGTCCAAGATTCAGTCCCCTGAGGCCTGGTCTTTGCCTGCTTGGCTCGTGCTGAGCTGCACTCCTCTTCAAGCCTGGTGCAATAGACCTTTCCCATCAACCATCCAGGTTGTCTTGGGCTGGAAATTTGTTTCTCTCTGTCTTTTTCTGGGTTCTGCTACTCTAGAATTTGCTTAGAGCCATTTTTTACGGGTATTTGGAGGGTTTTGGGAGAGAACTGAAGTGAGTCACTGCTTTTACTCTTCCATCTTGGCTCCGCCCTTCAGGAGATTCTTTAAAGCAGCAATCTGCTCTACTGAATTTCAAAGCCTCTTTTAGTCAGTTCAATTCAAGGAACATTGGTTAAGTATCTATTATGTATTAGGTACCATGGTAGACATTGGGTATATAAAAACAGAACTGATAAATAATCTCTACTCTCAGGGAGTTGTGGGAGAGCAAGATAACATAGAAACAAGTAAATACAAGATCATTTGAGGAAGGAAAGAACATGAAAACTAGGTGAACTAATACCATCTTCTCATTGAAAATGGCAACTAAGCTGAGCCTTACTGGAAGGCAAAAACTCTTAAGAGGTGAAGTTAAGCAGATAATTATTTCCATTTTAACAGGAGCAAGGTGTAATCACATATAGTTTCTTAGGTAGTACCTCACATCTTGCGGTCCTCTTTCTGTCACAAAAACAGTTTACATAAAGTCAAGCAATCAGTCAGTAAAAATTTAATAAATGCCTGTTATGTGCAAAGCACTGTGCAAAACCTGGAGATATAAAAAGAGTCAAAAGATGGTCCCTGCCCTCAAGAAGTTAGATTTTAATGAGAGACAAAAAATAAACATGCTATGTACAAACAAGCTAGACATAGGATAAATAAGAAATGATTAACAGGGGGAAGGCACTAGAAAGAATTAAGAGAGATTGGGAAAGGCTTTATATGGAGAAGACAGAATTTTAGTTGGGACTTAAATGTGGGCAGGGAAGTTAATAGAGAGGAAAGAGTGCATCCCTGGCATGGAGAACAGCCAGAGAAAAATGACCAGAGATGAGAGAGAGGGTGTCTTGTTTGTGGCGCAGCCAAGAGGCCAGTGTGAGTAGATGGAGGAGTACAAGGCAGAAGTGAAGTGTAAGACCAGAAAGATAGTTAGGGATGGGAGGTGGGATATGGAGAGAGCTTTGAATGTTAAATGGAGGATTTTGCGTTTGCTCCTGGAGGAGATAGGGAGCCAGTGGACTTTATTGAATAAGAGGTGGCATGGTTGTACCTCCACTGCAGGAAAATCACTTTGGAGGGTGAAAGATGGGTTGTAGTGGAGAAGAATATGAAGCAGGCAGACCCACCAGCAGGATATTGTAATAGCCCCAGTGTGAGGTGATGAGGACCTGCACCAGAGTGGTAGCTGTATCAGAGTAGAGAAGGTGTCATATTAGAGAGAGGTTATGAAGATGAAATTGACAGACCTTGGCAGTTGATTATATATAGAAGATGAGAGACAGTGAGATAGCACCTAGACAGAGAACCTGAGAGACTGGGTAGATAGTGTTGCCCTCTCTAATAATAGGGAAGTTAGGACAGGAGAGAATTTAGAGGGAACAGTAGTGAGTTCTATTTTGTATATATTGAATCAGTTCTGAAAGAAAAATCCTGTTCCTCATTAAAATTGGATTAGTACCTTCTCTGGATTTCCTCCCATTTATCCTGTTATCTTGTTTGTACATACCTGTTTGCATATTGTCTCTTCATTAGACTGTGAGCTTCTTGAGATTGAGGTTTTTGCCTTTTTTTTTTAATCCGTAACACTTAGCACAATGCCTGAACATGGTGTATACTTAATAGTCAATATACATTTATTAAGTGCCTGCTATTTACTAAGCATGGTGGTAAATTGTGGGAGACCAGTGAGAAAAAGACTATCCATTCCCACAAGGGCCTTACAATCTTATAATCTAAAAATGTTCCAAAAAATTGATAAAGTGCAGAGAGAACCAAAAAATGGAAAGAGTATTAGAGAGGTTATAGGAAGCTTAGAAATCAGTCTAACTTCTGGATAACAATTTGGAATGATATGAGAAAAGTCGCTAAACTGTTCATACACTTTAACCTAGTTGTTCCACTCTTACCACTTTTTCATAACAGCAAAAACTAAAATCAAAGGAGGTGCCCCTAGATAGCGGAATGACTGAATAAACTGGGGTACATTGATATAATGGAATATTATTGTGCCGTAATAACTAACAAATATGAGGAATTTAAAGAAAAAATTGCAAAGACCTATAAATTTATGCAGAATGAAGTAGAACCAGGAGAACAACATACACATCATAACTACAGCAATGTAAGTGATAAATCATTACCTCACACTACACTCTCTCCCCTGAGAGTGCTGGTTAGTTCTAGGGACAGAATGTTGTTAAATATATATGTGTGTATACACACACACACACACACACGGTACGGTGGGGGGGTGGAGAGGGAGAGAGTGTCAGAAACAGTTGCTGTTAGTCCCTAAAATGTTTTTTTGTTTGCTTGTTTTGGTATTGTTTAATGTTGTGAGGTGTCAGGGGGGGTATATTTGAAAATTACTTTGATGTAAAAACAGAAAAATCAATCTACTTTTTAAAAAAGAAATAGCAAGTAAAGAAGTAGATGTAATGAGTGTAGATCCCCACTCCCCCCGACCCCTCTCAGTTTGGCTTAAAGGAAATCCTCTTAAACTCTGGAGTTGCAGAGAAGGTGCCAGCCAAGATTTTTAGAGGGTTTCCTCACTTGAGATTTTTCTATGGCAATAAAATTTCAAGCCTACTTGTCTGCCCTATCCTTGGCTGTGACTTCTGTGTGTGTGTGTGTGTGTGTGTGTGTGTGTGTGTGTGTGTGTGTGTGTGTGTGTAGAAAGAGACTATTATTTTATATAGTATATATTATATATAATATATATTATCTACATGGGCTACTGAGTTACAGGAAGATGTACTAAATAATTACCCCTTAAAGTTTTTGATACTTTGTGTTAACAATTGATGAATTAATGGCTGTAAAGCCCTTTGAACTCTTCAGAGATTGCTACTAAAGTGATAAATTTGTTATAAAGTCCCTTGAGAGCAGAGACCTCTCATATTAGCATCAGCTAGGAAGGGAAGAACTAAATTCAAATACTGTCTTGAATATTCACGGGCTATATGACCCTACGCAGTTCACTAAGTTAAGAGTCTCAATACCCTCATCTATAAAATGGGAATAATAATAGTTGCTCACTTCACAAAGTTATTGTGAGTACCAAATGAGAATGAGATATGCTGTATTTTGCAAAACTTAAGTAGATCTACAAAATTTGTTGTTGTTGTTACTTCTTTTACTCTTTTATTACATAAAGAAAGGAAGGAAACAAGCCTTTATTAAGTGCCTGCTACATTCTACGCTATGTGTTAAGTGCTTTACAAATACTTTTTCATTTGATCCTCACTATAAAACAGTCTTGGGTGAGGAATGATGCTTGAATGATGGTTCCCTTTGTTCTTGTTATCACCACCTTCTTTGGAATGCCCTTTCTACAGCTTCCATTTTCTCAAATTCTTTCAAAGCTCATCCCATTTTTCAGTTCCTTAATTACTTGAGTAACTAAATCTTATGATCTTCTAAGAGCCTTTTAGGTACAGCTAATTGGAATACCTTTTCCAAATAAGATTGCATTGTCTTTGACTGCAAAGAAATAGGCAACTCAGTGATGTGTTTGAAGTGAAGTCTTGTGCACACATGGTAGAAGAACATTAAATAGGTCACAGAAATGTTATAGAATTAATAGGAATTACACAGACACAGAAAAAGCAAAGTCAAAGGCTCAAGCAGTCTGTAACAAGCTTTCTACCCTTTTGAGGACTTTTAGTAGCCCCATAGCTCTGAGCTTAGTGCTCCTGCTTTAAGGTTTTTTCTATCAGAGATAATTTTCTTCGTAAAATGATCAGTCAGGACTCTATATCTTAAAACTTTTTGATACCTTTTATTGTGTTATCACTGTGGCTGATTCATTTGTGAAACTTAAAGCACTCCCATTTGTGGAGATTTATTCTCGTATCATTTTTTTTTTCCTCTGGATTTGCCAGAACACCATCATGTTCGTGTTCTGAAGGTTAATGCCTAAAGTCAGTCAGACAGAAGCCAAGTGCTGCAAGGTTTCCAAGATTAGGACTGATTCCCTTCACAGAAATAAATGATTCCTGCCATGTTCAGTGATTTCGTGCAGCACTCCACACGGCTGAGTGAGTGCCTCAGTACTGTAGTCCTTACATGCTGTACATACTGATGACACTCTGTGTTAACTTGATTGACTGAGCAGTATACTAGAGAGGACGCACCTGCAAGACAAGTGCAGGCACATATATTTTTATCCTGGTTTCGAAACATTTATTTTACATTTATTTTACTTGGAAGTCATAGTTTCAAATTCCAGGGGTCCTCATGTTGTGCTGCAAAGGTAGAGCAAACCTTTAAGTGTTGCTTTTTTGTCAGAATTGCTTTGAAAATGATCTAAGGCTCGTCCCCTTTTCCCAGAGCCTGATTTTATGCTTTTGAAGAAAATGACACGAAGGTGACTATTAGCAAGCTTGACAAATTAGTGACTGTGTAAAATTTGGATCTCTTAAGAGATTTTCATTTAATGATACTCAGATGCCTCATTTAATTCACTTAAAAGAAATAATTTTGGTTATATTTTTATGTTGTGTTTTATTATCATGTTTTATAGGCTTTGAGACAGCAGCAGAAAAGAAGAAATGGAGTCTCAATGATGGTAAACAAGACTGTTCCTCGTGTTGTTTTGACACCATTAAAGGTGTCTGATGAGCAGTCGGATTCACCTTCAGGTAAAATAGCTAAATGATTGTATGCTAGACCAGTTCTCATAGAATATTCCTTAGTGATAAATGGCATATGAAATCTGGAAGTGCTGGAAATCTATTTCTACTTGGAGGTTTGGCTTAATTTTTTTTAATCCCTTCTGTTGATCAAGCAACTCAAACTAGTTGTGCTAACCCCTTCTTTTAAAAATTGGGTGCAGATAGTACATAATAAATGACTTTTGCAAGTGGCAGCAGGTTCAACGGAATGTGAAATGATGCTGGTAGTTTCTTTCTAAATTTTTTTTTCCTGATCATTTCGATGTTGAACTTTAACAGTGGACCATGTACTGATCTGTAATGTTATCAAAAGCAGCTTTTTTGTGGGTGTGAATTTGTGTGTAAGTCTTCTGTTGCAAAACCAGAGATCTTTTTATTAGTTTTTTTCTGACACTGTTTCTTTTTAACACTATGCAACTCTTTGCTTTTGCTTTATAGTTGATTTATTTAAAAAAATCTTTAGAGTTTTAATTGTGTTTATTATATGCTGACATTTATATTTTTCAGAAATACTTTATTGCAAAAGTTATTTAGAAAGATCTCTCCTCTCCTCTCCTCTCCTCTCCTCTCCTCTCCTCAGCAGTACTTGAAAATAATATATCATAATGTTTAAAGCTTATTTATATTTTATTTTAAAAAATGCTTTTTTGGGACTCATCCTTAAGCTGTAAGATTAGTGGATTTACCATTTGGCTGAACTTATTAGGCCACCTTTTTTTCTCCTTAATTGATTTACTTTGCTTTTATATTTATTACCTGCAGGGTTAGAAGAATCAGATTATGACCAAAGAAGATAGTACCTCTTAGCAATGACAAAGGAGATAATATACTTGGGTTATTTTTTTTTAAAAATCTAATCTTTCCTTTAAAAAGGAAAACAAGAAAGAGGACAACAGTTGTATAACTGTTTTCTTTTTTTAGGATCTGAGTCTAAAAATGGTGAAGCTGACAGTTCAGATAAAGAAATGAAACATGGGCAAAAATCTCCCACTGGAAAACAAACGAGTCAGCACTTAAAACGATTGAAAAAGTCTGGTTTAGGTGAGTATACCAAGGGTCTATTTATGGTCCCTTACATTTCTTATCTTATTGAATGATTTTGTAGACTATCCATAAATAATTCTTAAAATACTTAATTCAACCAAGCGGAGCAAAATTCTTATAGGATATGTAAAACAAAATCTGTAAGTTACACTGGAGAGGGGAAAAAACTTATTTAAGTGATCTATTATTGTTTTCTGTACTTGTGAATGATAGTTCTCTTTGAATCTAAAGTTAATGGAAGACAGTTTCATAATGGCATTCATTAAAGTGATCTCTTCTTCCAAGTACTGATTTCATTAGTGAGGAAGATTTTGTTGTATTTGGGTTTTCATTTGTTTGAAATGCAGTGTTACTTGGAAGTGAACTTTCAGGAATTAATCGTGGAGCTGCACTTTGTGATATAGGCTTCTAAGTTAAAATTGGTGCCTAGCTACAGTGTCTTTCTCAAGCTATTCTGCATTGGTTGTTTGACAAATAGTTTCAGATTTCTGAGAAATCCATGAATTGTAGGGTCTGTGGGATCTTACAGATTAGCATTGTTATCTTATTAATTCTTCCTTCATCACAGTTTTTCAGCTGGAACCCAAGGTGTGGTATTTGGAAGAAAAGAAAAAAAGATTCAATGAAATTATATTATGTTATGCTATGTTGCATCATATCATGCCATGACGTGTCATGTCATGTTATGTCATGTCATGTCATATTATATTGTTAATTTATTTTTGTAAAAAAACCCTGAGTCTTCCTTTTTCTCCCAGGCTTGAAGAGCAAGGGCTATTCACAAGCCTTGATCTCACTTTTGTTGACACAGGAGTTACGACCTGCTGTGTTTCCAACCTGGGTTGGTTTGCACCTCCTTAGGCAATCTGGTGGCCTCCTTTCCCCTGTATTAATTCTGAGCTTAGTGCAAACACCCAGTCATCTTAGCCCACTGCAGCTTGGAACTTACATGCTCAAGAGGTCCATTGGCCTTAACCTCTTTGATAGTAGAGATTACAGGCACATATCACCGTGGCCAGCTATTTATTTTAATAAGACAGGAACAAAATGCTTTCTGAACTGTACATTGTAATCCATCCTAGTCCTTTTCTTGTCTTGCTGGATGAACCAAATCAAGTGGCCAATTTATTTCTTAGTGTTTTCATCTCTAAGAAAAAAAAAGGTGTGTTAATACTTACTTGGGTCACTATAGTGTCCTGTTGAATTAATGAACAAAGTATATATTATTTAAAACTACATATTTAGTGGCCTGAATCATTTCCGACTTTACCACTTATTTTCTGGATTATTTAAAACTATTTTTGGTGTTAAAGTTTAGCCACATATAAAAATAGAAGTGATTCTCTTTAACTAGAGAGAACCTTTGAAAGATCTTTGATATCCACAAATGAACAAGACTGTCAAAGTAAAGGTTGGTTTTGTTTTGAAACACTTTAAACATAAGATAATTAGATTTAGCTTCATAGTCAAATATGCGTGCTTAGGGATGCGTAAGTACTTTCTTATCACCAGGCTCCAAAGCAGAAAACAAATTGAAGTATGATGTTATATATATAAATATTCCTAATGGAAAAAACTACCAAGTTCATAAGATCATAGAATTAGAGCTGGAAATGGACCTCAGAAGTCATGTCATCCAACACCCCAATCTTACAGATGAAGAAACTGAGATCCAGAGAAGTTAAGTAATTTCTCCAAGTTCAGTCAATATAAAGGAGTTATAGGTATAAAAGGCTTTACCCAAGAATGCTTTGTTGTCAGTTCTAGAGAGCAACAATTACACATATTCCAGAGAAGGCTAAATGTCTTATAGTGATATTAGAAAGGAATTCAAGGGACAAAGGAGAGTCTTATTTCAGATTGGGATCCACATGTTTATTTTATAAAATGAAACTACAGGATTAGATGTCTCAGTGTATCGGGGCTAACATCAAAAATACTTGAAGTGGGCAATCAATAATCACAGATTTTTAAACTCTGTACTTTGGAAAGTCATATACTGGAGAATTCTTGGTGATGTTTAGTAACAATCAACCTGAAGACAGCTAGGATATTTTACCATCCTTCACTAAGGAAACTTATACTTCCACTGAAGACAGCAATTTATTTGAGAAAAAAAAATCTAGAGATTTTAGTGGGCTGCAAGACTAATACAGCTAATGTGATCTTGGGCTGCATTAAGGGAGGCATAGCTTTCAAGAGTAATGAGATAGATAATCCTGCTCTGTTCTTTGGAATACATATGGAATATTAAGTTTGTTTTTTGGTATTACAGTTTAGCAAGGACATTTATAAACTGGAGAGTGAGCGTTCAGAGGATGGAAGCCAACCTGGAGAAGGGCCTTTATATTCTGGATGAGACATGGTTGAGTCAAGATAGATGTGATAACTATCTTTAAGTATTTGAAGTATTAACCTTGTGAAAGAAGAAGACTTGTTCTGTTTAGCTACAAAAGGAAGAACCAAAAACAGTGATTGGGATTTGTAGAGAACAATTTTAGACTTGTTGTCTTGAAAAACTTCTTAACAATTAGAGCTATCCCAAAGAAGAATGGGCTACTTTGGGAGGTTGTAGTTCCCCTCCTTTGAGGTCTTCAAGCAAAAGTTAAATGGCCATTTCCCAAGTGTGTTAGCAGGGGATTATTTGGGGTTATATATTAGACTTGATGGTTATTGGTGTCCCTTCATACTCTAAATTTCTGTGATTCTGTAACTCATCTTAATCTGAGAGAGTTTAAATTTATCAGAAAGTCTGTTACCCCAAAACATTCTATCAAATTACTTGTCATTATAAAAAATCTGAAAGACTATCATATTCTGAGAGAAGCTAGGCTGGTGGCAGAGTTAAGTTTCCCTTTAGCTAGGAGTTTGGACCCTGACACAGGTGTCATGCAGTAGCATCTGGTAGAGGTGCAACACTGTCCCCTGGATATTATATATAATATTAGATGTCAGAATAAGACACCAGCAGTGTCTGAGAACGCATATCTACTGGGCCAAAGTAGAGAAAATTTATAACAGCATAATATCTACGCAGCTGCTGTGTAAACTGAAGAAGGAAAAGCAAGGGGTGATTGAAAATAGGTCAGTAATGGGATTTATACTGTAAAGAGTCTAGGTGATAATTGAGAAACGTAGGAAATAAACAATAGTAGACAGAACAACAAACATTCAGCAGTCAGAGATGGGATGGTTTATTTGGAGCAAGCAAAATCAGATAGTATTTATTAAGCATTTACTGTGTGCCACTACTATCCTAAGAAAATTACTGAGGGTGAAAAGTCATAACCTTATGCAAAGGCAGGCTCAGTAAGCTGTATCTGTCATTTATTACAGTACTGTTTTAGAGAGACTTTGGACCTGTTGGGACCTTAGAATACTGAAAAAATAATAGCTTTAGAAGACTGTGAAATATTTATGAAATGGGATGACGTTCAGTGCCAGATGTGGTTTGTTGTCTTTATTTGTACACATTATGGCTAAAAGAGGAATCAATAGGCTGCCCATCCTGGATATCTCATATGAGGAGTAGCCTGGCAAGGTCCCTGCCCCCCATTTGCATTTCATTTATTCCTTGACTTCCAGGGCTCAGTTATTTGGTTTTTTTGTTTATTTTTTAAATTCAAGTTTTTATATTTTTTAAATTTAACAAGCATTTATTTTCTTTCCCTCATCCTGACCTTAAAAAAAAAAGGCCAAAAAACCCCCAACAACAATCCCAAAACTCCGCCTTGTAACAAATATGCGTGGTCGTGCAAAAAAAAAAAAATCACATTTACCGTGTCCAAAAATGTGTCTCATCCTGTATATTTAGTTCATCACCACTCTGTCAGGAAGTTAGTAACATTTATCTTTAGTCCCCTGGAACCATGTTTTGTCATCGTTTGGATCAAAGTTCTTTCAAAGTGTTTGTTTTTACAGTGGTGTTACAGAATAAGTGGTTTCCATGGTTCTACTGACTTTATTCTGATTTTATCAGTCCACTATTAGGTGATCAATCCCTGAGGAATTTATTCACCGTGACCAAACTCATTAGACCCTGACATAAACCAGAATGTCAGTTTATTAATTTATAATATGTATATATATTTTTAAAGAGACTAGATATCCATATCTGCCATCTGCAGTACCTCTATCTCAGTATCATGGGAGGTATAATTATTCCACATTATGGAGTTCACCTTCATAGTGACCATATATTCATATTCATTAGAAATAGTATGATTTCATAAGTTTAAAGTTGGAAGGGACCTTAGGGGTCCTCTCATACAACCCTGTTCATCCTCCACATGAGGAAATTGAGTGAGGTGGTTTACCCAACATCACACAGATAGTAAGTGACAAAACTGGTTTGACCCTTGATCCTTCTTGGTTCCCATCCCTCTTTTCCCTTGCATTGTGCTGTCTTTCCCTTGAACAAGTGCTACATTCACATGAAATAGATTCTTAGTAACATTCCTTTGAAAATATCAGTCACCAGCTTGTGTCACTAGAACCTTATGAAGACAAGTGAACTGTTTAAGATGACTACTTATACTGGTTAAATTTAAATTGAAAACAGAAGGAAAACCTAAAAGAATGATACATAAATAATCTGGACAGCTTTGAAAGCTACCAGTTGAACTAATTATATACTTAAAATGAAATGCAAGCTATATAAAATGAAAATCTTAAGTCTCCCCCCCAAATTAAAAAAAAAATTCTCCTTTTTGAGGGAGGCTCCTAAGCCCCTTGCTGGGATTCAGGAAACGTGACAATAGCAGGAGTACCTTTTCAAATGCTCTCTTAGGGCAGGTTACCTTACAGATTGCTCTCATTCCTTTCGAGTTGATTCTTATTTGCTTTAGTTTCAAAGTGTAGCATTTTCTGACCTGGTGTCAGAGTGATCAAAGTACATTCTTTTGGAGACTTGATATACCGACCATGCATGTCCTGGTATTCTTTCTAATTATTAGAAGTGTCTTGAGAAATGAAATAGTATTGTACACTTCCCCCAACCCCCATAGAATCCTATATATTGCAGGGGCCTAATGAATATTTATTGAATGAATGGGGTCTAATATATCAAACATAGTGAGATGAATAATGAATTGTTCTTTACTTCTCTACACTCATCTAGTTTTTAATACTCATTTTAGGAATTTTAATAATGAAGTTTTTTCTGCTTTGTTTCAACTAAAGACAGTGAAAAGTACTGAATAGAAAGGCCATGAAGCTAGGAAGACCTGGGTTCAAGTTCCATCTCTGACACATTCTGTTTTTGCAGTTCTGAACAAGTCATTTGTCCTTTCAGTTCTCTTAGGCGCCTCTTAAACTGTGGATAAACCCCAAATGGGGTCCTGACCCACAGTTTAAGAAGTGCTGAAGGGAGGGAAGCTAGGTGGCAAGGTGGATAGAGCACTGGCCCTGAAGTCAGGAGGACCTGAATTCCAATCTGGCCTTATGCCAAACATTTGACACTTACTAGCTGTGTGACCCTGGGCAAGTCACTTAACCTCAATTCCCTAAAATGAAAAAAAAAAGTTAAAAAAAAGTGCTGAAGGGGTTGCAAATAGAAAAAGTTTAAGAAGGTTTGCTCTAGGAAACACTGTAAAACTCTTAAGTTGCAGAAAAGGTATAAAGAGATTCCTGTTAAACAATTTGGGGAGTTCCTTAGATGACTTCCCTAAATTGGTGAAATTATTTGTCCAGTCTCTGTCTCTATAGCTCAGGACAGTGTCAGATTTCTTAAAATGATTCCAGATGGGAATATGTATTTGGTGTGTCCATTTTGGTCTGAAACAACAGCCTTAGAATTAAATCCAATCTCCATTACCCTCTACAGTGTTGAGTTGAGTCTTTATTCTTTCTGGTCCATTTATCTCGTTATAGGACTTCCAAGATAATATATCTCACTGATGAATAATGACAAATTTGCTATTATATTGTTATCTAAAGGCTGCATTTATGTTCCAAAAATTCACTTTATTCCAATTGCATGTGTCAGGTGGGTACTAGGAATCTCATGACTATTGCCAAAAGGAGAAGCAGACCTGGAGTTAAGTGTCATGAACCTGAGGATGCCATAAACCTTTCCAGCCCTTTTCTGTCCTCCGCTATGCTTGGTAGCAAGGATTGACACTTGATGAGATTTGGTAATCTTTAGAGGTCATGGAAAGATTGTTGGAAAATTCTTTTCTAGAGGATTCCCATCTTTCACATTTAGGATCCTAAGAATATAGATGTAGAGCTCCAAGGAATCTCATGAGTCATCTTATCCAACTTCTCATTTTACAGATGAGAAATCTGGGTCTAGAGGGGATAAGTGACCTGCCCATGGTCACAGAGTGTCAGAGGGAGAATTTTTAATCAGAGTCAAAAGTAAAATTTGAACCTAGGTCTTGTGTTTCCAGTCAGTGCATTTTCCTTAGTACTGTACTAGTATAGCAGCTAGGTAGCACAGTGGATAGAATGCGAGGCCTAGAGTCAGGAAGACCTGAGTTTAAATCTGGCCTCAGACACTCACTGGGTGACCCTGAGCAAGTCACTTAATTCTTTTTGCCTCACCTTCCTCATCTGTAAAATGAGCTGGAGAAGGAAATGGCAAACTGCTCTATTGTCTTTGCCAAGAAAACCCCAAATGAATTCTAAGATTCAGACACGACTGAAATGACTGAACAACTGTACTATTAAGAGATGAGATCTAAACCTCTCGTTTCATTGGTATAGGAAGCTCTCAGATGAGGAAACTCCTTCTACTAGTGCAGATTGGCACATTCTCTACGACTTATAGTCTTATAGTTGCCTAACTGAAAGATTAAGCAAATTGACAAGAGTATTACATTGGTAAATAATAGGATAATTACTTTCATTGTGAAATGGACTAACTGCTTGTATAGAATTGGGGTTTGCCGCAGACCAAACAGTAAAAGATGTGTCGACATTTCTTCACATTACCAGTTGCCTTAATCTTCCATTATTTGCTTAATTGTGATGTACCATTGGTTTTTCATTTTTTACCTAATTAGTCTTCTTTTTCCAACTAAGTTGTTAACATCCTAAAGGTATGTTGTTATTTTATATTTGCTTCGACCATTAAATTTAACATAGTTCTAGGTAAAAAGTAAATGCTTATGTATTTTGTCAAATGAATTGGTATGCCCCACCCTAAAAGGAGAATCCTCTGTCTCTAATGGGTGATTCTGAAATGGTTTTAATAAATGCATCTGTTTCTGTTTTCAAGGGCTATTTTAGTTTCCCCCAGGAGACCACTGAGAGAGGGAGAATATACAGGCAGATTCTTCTCAAGTATAGAAAGGAAGAAGTGCCATCTATAACTTAATGAGCTAACTGGTTGAAATTACATGCTTAATGATAATTAGTAAGGTTCTACAGTAGAAGATCCAATATATAAGCTTTCGTAGCATTTACCTTTCAACAAGAAGTTCATACCTTAATATATGTTACAGGAACATGATTTTTTTTTAAACTTAGATTGGAAAATTTAAGAAAAAATTTTTCTTTGGCCTTAACAAAATATCCCATGTGTTGAACTCATGGCTTATAAGTTGAGATAGCCCTGCAGGTTCAATAGATAGTGAACTATCAGACACCTTAAATTTTATATATGAATATAAAACCTCTAATTTGTCCCCTTTAGAGTTATCTACTCTTTAATATTTCCATATATTGAAAAACTTTACTGTTGAAAAAATGCTACTAATTTTGGTCTTATGATTATTAAGGTACGGCTATCCTGAAAAGGAGGCATTTCCATAGAGCTAATTCTGATGGATTGTATGCTCTTTGAGGGCAGGTCCCATTATATTTTTACCTTTGTAACTTTAGCATCCAGCCTAACACTTACTAGGGATATAACATCAGGATTAGACCTGTGATTTTATTGATATATGGAACTCCAGTGTGTGGAACTTTCTCTTGAAACTTATGGTGTTTGAAATTTGCCTAGGGCACTAAGAAGCTCAGTGACTTGTACAGTCATGTAGCCAAACTATGTCAAAGGTGGTACTTAAAATCCAGGTCTTCTCAGCTTCCAAGGCAATATTTCTATCCATTTTAATCCACATAACCTCACAAGCATTTAGTAGACACTTAATATGTGCTCATTGAATGAATGAATGAACCCTGGGAAGAATGTCATCTCTTAATTTTTGCCTTTTCCGTAGTCTCTCTAGAGTCTAACTCAGATCTTTTTGTCTTTTCATATTTGGTAAAACTTTGTTCATTATTTACAGGTTAATATTTAATTCTTGAAAATTATCTAGGGGCAGCTAGGTGGCGCAGTGGATAGAGCACCGACAAACACTTGACACTAGCTGTATGACCCTGGGCAAGTCACTTAACCCCAATTGCCTTAAAAAAAATTATCTGAAGTCTGTGAACTCTAGATATCTTTGAACTGTTTGGTAAATTAACTTGTTTCTGGACTGAGTAATGATCTTTGTTTTCTAATGTCGTTATAGTAATCTGATCATCAGAGAGCTGCAGATTTTTCAGCATATACTTATTTTGTTATGAAATAAGATGGAATAATATAAAACAGTTAAAAATGTAGAGAAGGAACAAACAACATTGGGCGATAAAGCTCATCCTCTAAGATGTTATATGTCATAGAGGTAAACAGAGAAGCTCCAGAGATATTCAGAAGAGTGTCAAAACCCATACCAATTCAACTTTGTCAGTGGAAATGATTCTCTTTTTATAAAAGGATTTTTGGTACCATGTCCTTTTACTAACAAGTAACATTAGATGTTGTGCAATGGAAGGTTTTTTAATAGGCTTTTCCACCAACTGATCTATGGCAAATGTTTAGAGCCCAGGTTCTCAAGTAATATTTTATAAAGGAGTTTCCGTTTAACCTATCATGCTTAGACTCCTGCTTTCATGGCCCCAAAGTATTCCAAAGCTACTTGGGTGGTTAGCAGTTGCAGTATATAAAAAAAATAAAATTGGGGGTGTGGGGGGGTAGACAATCCAGTTTAAGCAACTTGCCCAGGGTTAGATAGCTAGAAAAATGTGTGAGGCCGCATTTGAACTCATATCCTCCTGATTCCAGGGCTGGTGCTCTATCCTCTGCACCACCTAACTGCTCTGGCAGTACAGCAATTTGATTAGTTATTGGAATGTGGAAAACTTATTTGTTCATCTGGACCAAGATGCCAATTTGAGTTTAAAGTGTATAAGTGATTCTTACTGAAAGATGATGTAAATAAAAAAGTCAAAAGAAGACAGACAATAAAGGAAAAAACTATTAAAATTCCCCTCTTCAAATATCAGCATTTTAAATAGTAGTTGAAATGTAACTGTCTTGCCAAAATAATATATCATTTAGCTCGCACATATTAATCTACAGTAAAGTTGTACTTCTTGCTTGTTTACCACAGGACACTTGAAATGGACCAAAGCTGAGGATATTGACATAGAAACACCAGGATCTATTCTTGTGAACACTAACCTGAGGGCGTTAATAAACAAACATACTTTTGCTTCCTTACCTCAACATTTTCAACAATACCTCCTGCTTTTGCTACCGGAAGTAGATAGGCAGGTAAGTAGAAGTTTTAGACTTTGGTTTTCAAATGCTAGTTATGTTAAAAAGAAGATCTAGAGCTATTATTTAGGATAATTCCCTTTGAAATAATTAGGGCCACTTTACTCAATTTTAATTTCTTAGTTTAATCTATAAAATAATAATTATTTTAAATTTCAGTAATAAACCAATTACATCTTAAAATATAGTACATTGTATAATAAAAATCAGTAAAGGCAAAGTTTATACTGACTATATGGGGGGGGAGGGGAATCAAGCATTCCATTCCATTATCAAATAAATCTTTGAAGTAGCTACTTCTTTGCCCTGAGGGAATATTGAGTGCAGCCATAAAAAACCTGTGCTTCTAAGAAAATATGTAAATGTTTATATTCTCAGACTCTTTTTAAAAAGCATTTAAAATTTATAGTTCCATACCCTGAGCATACCAGAGTAGATTAGGATTTACCATTAGCAACAATTTAGGTGTTTTTTTTTTTGTGGTTGGTTGGTTTGTTTTTGGCTCACTAAAGATAAACATTTGAGTTCTAAATATAATTTACATTATTGAAAACATTCTAAAATAAGTTAGTAAGATAATGTGACCTCTTAGAGTTAATCTCTTTAAGAACATTTTCTTTAAAAAATTTAAGATCATGATTATGGAATAGGATTTTTTTAGATTACCATAACTTTTAACAAGGAAATTTTTTTATTGTCTGCCCTTAAATTTAATTAATAAGCAGTTGTTCATAGACATTATGATCTTCCCCCCCTTAAACCTTGACATAAGATATAATACACTGATCATCATGCAAATATAGATCCATAAATGAAAGTAAACATTCTTTTAGTCCTTTGAGTTTTTTTCCTTAGTTTGTACTTGATAACTGTGATGACTTACTCTAGTATTTACTCCCAAACTTTAGCTAACATCCTCTCATTTCTTTTGTTGGAACTACCTTGTTTACTTTGAAAATATTGTTTTATCTTTATAAATACTTCAGCGCGTTAGGAACTTCTAGAGAAAAGGGCAGATCCGTTTGGCTTAGTTTTGACCAAATATTTTGTTAACCAAGAAGGAAACTAGGTGATATGTCCAAAGGTGTCCCAGGCTGCAGAAGATCCAGGTCACATCCATAAAAAGCAACAGCAATAGCTACCAGCATGAATTTAAGATAGGATTATGAAAACAAAGAAAAAGAATCAAAGTCAGGGGTCAGACAGAGGAGCAGGGGATTTCTCACTGATAGATTGGTATTAGATTGAGATCGTGTTTCATTCATTTAGACAATAAATAAATCTAACTGCCTATAGTATTTGTTGCTGGTGTTTAAGCTGGGATACTTCTGTGCAACGCTTTCTAGGATATGCTTTGTGGCTTTTTCAGACGTTCCTACAATATGCTTGGCAGTTTTTTTCCCCTCGTTTAGCTTCTAGAATTTGCACTTTAATAAATTGTACCTGTGTAGAGGTCTTTCATGAACTTTTTAATGGATGGCACTTGGTGGGACAAATGTCAACTTAAGTGGAGTCTTATTTAGGTTTTTATTACTTTTCCAAATGGCACCTCAATGATGAATAGTGTGTGGTCAGTTCTGTCATATACATCATTTTTCAGGAATATACATCTTTGCTTTCTGGGCTAGTGTAAGAGAGAAGTTCCTCACATGTTATCCCCACCTCCGGGACATAGATCTCACCAAAAACGTCTCAATTTGCCCCATTCTCTTCTGTCCAAAAAAAAATTTGCCGCATTCTAAACCATTCTAATTAATCACTATTTTACTCTAAATTCATATTTTGAACATTTAAGTAAGTTAGATGCCCACTGAGTGCCCCATAGCCTCTTTAAAATCCTATCAAGCTTTGTGCTTGTTGAAGATTTGTGCTCAGTCATAATGCACATAATTCTGACTGTGGAGAATACCATTAAAATGAAATGGAACATTTACACAGTTCCCTTTGCAGAGAGTTTTGGATTAGAAAAATTAATGCATTTGTCAAGCATTTTATAGCACATGAGTACATGATTTATTGATTTTTGATGGCTCTGTTGGCATCACTGTGTGTATTTAAAGAAGTCACATAGCCTTTATAAATGCAAATAGAAGAGGACATTCAATTTTTCCTCCAGAGTAGAAGTAGCTCATACATTTGCAATAACTCAGACTTTGCATGGAGATTGTTTTATGTGCTGCATATATTGATTTTAAAAATTATGCTATTATTTTTATTCCACAGTTAGTATGTGTAATGAAATATCCACTTACCTAACAGATCATAGTAATTTCATAAGATTAAAGGTAAGAAAAAATAAGTTATCTTAAACCTTTAGCCAAAAGTAAGTTTACTTGTGTTGCAATTATTTTAATAAACCTGACATTTCAGCTTTTTCTTCACACTAGAAAGCCCATCCAGATATCCCTGTGTATTTTCTTCCTTCACTTGTGCTTTAAAATTATTGAAGATAGTGAATTAATCTTTATGTTTTGTCGAATACTTAGTAGACTGGATACTTGTTGTCTAATAACATACAGCACTTAGTACCGTGTCATGTTTTCACTGGACACTGATTAACTGATGAATAATGGTCACTATCCTCCCTGCTTCCTCCCTTAGGCCCTAGTAGTTAGGGAGAAGGATGAAAACTCTTAGACAGTGGACACTCATTTCATTACAATTACTTACCATACTTGGTTCCTCATGGCATTAAAAAGGTGTCTTTCCACATAGCTAATTTACTACCATCAACTCAATTGGATATGGAGTAATATTGAAATCAATAAGCATTTTAGAGTATTATTTAATGTGTGCCCAAAGTTTTAACTGGATGCCTTACCAGAATGTGGAGGTCACTCTGGGTTCCAGAAGCTTATGTGGGGTAGCATGTAAGTTCTGGCAGGTCCTAACAAGCCAGAAAGTTTTTGTTTATTTTTTTAATAGGGCTGGTGTTGAAAAGTATGTCTTATCTGAGGACCTCCCTAACTAAGAGCTAAGAGGCTTATCATCAAAGGATTGATCATCAGATAATGATTTGGGATTTGGGCACCATATAACTCATGAAGACAGTTTGTTAAAGCACAGTTACTTTGTTTATTTTTTGTGCATACATGTTTTCAATATTCTTAAATTATACCACCTATAGAGTGTAAGCTCCTTGAAGGCAGGGGATATTTCATTTTTGTCTTTGTATCCCTAGCTCCTAGCACAGTGCCTGGAACATAGTAAGAGGCTAGTAAATGTTTTTGATTGATCAGTCTATTGGTGGACTACCCTTATCAAATAAATAATGGATTATTGAATATTATACTGTTTGCACAATTAAAATTTTTGTATTTCTGTAATAATAAAGGTAAACACAAACAATATATTAGTTCCAAGGCCTCTTAAAGAACAAAGACTTAAGAACCCTAACCTGGCAAAAGAACAGAATAGGGAACCAGTGAAAAGAGCACAGGCTCTAGAGCAAGAGGACTTGGGTTCAGGGTCCACCTCTGATGCTTACTACCTCCTGTGTTAACTTGGACAAGTCACTCAACATACACGAATTTTAGTTTCCTCATCTGTAGTACTAAGGAATTTGGACTATATGGACTTTTAAGTGTCCAAACTTACAACTCTAATCTATGATCTTATAAGATAGTTCATTTATTCGTTTGTTTGTTTATAGAACAAGACCTCTTAATAAAGACAGTTCTAATGCTAGGCAAACCAAAGATAATTTTCAGTGTCAATCTTGTAAATACCTAATCATCCCTTACTCAGAATATAAGCTTGAGGTAGGGAGTGGGTTTGTTTTGTTTTGTTTTGTTTTGTTTTGTTTTTATGTACCAAAGTCCTAGAAGAGAGTTGGTGCTAAATTAAATACATATGTTCATTGAGTGGAATTCCCCAAACTGTTTCACATCTATCACTGCCACTCCTAGTTAGGCTCTACAAATAAAACAATGTGTCATGACATTGGTGGAAACATTTTAGGCATTTTGATGGCATAAACATTGGCTTTTCTCCTTAAACACTTGTTTCATAGGTTGCACAGTTACTGCATACTACATTCTTCCCACTGAAAAATAGTGAAGACATTCTTTTAGGAGAAGGTAAAGCTCAAGGCCAACTAATTTTACTGATTTCTTATTTTTCCTTTCTAAGGCTGACAGCTAGGATTCCTAGCTGCAAAACTAGGATTTAATTAAAAACAATGACAATAATAACAGAAGTAAAAAACAAAACAGTTAACACACAGGAAATCATCTAAAATACTGCAAGTGCCGTCTTTCCTTGAAAAAAACTGCTCCATTCTTTTCCCCTTTCCCAACTGATAGCATAAAATTCCTCTTTCTTTGTAGAGAATGATGATTTACTTCTTTGGGGAGCTACTTAGTAATTAAAAAAGGGGCCTGTCACAACAGCTCACATTTACACAGCTATGTCTTGGAATAACAAAAGTGAGCTAGCCTGGACCAGAGAATTCCCTGTCTGAATGCCTATTTCAGTTGTAGTTACTGTTTTTGAATGCTTATTATTCTTTCTTCTTTAAGGGAAGTAATTTTATAACCAATCACCTGGAAGGACTTTGTTTTTGTGTTTGGATAGGGTTGTGCTGGGCTGCTACTTTAAAGCAGTTTTTGGTGGTCACAGCATGAAAATATTTTGCCATTCAAAAAAATTTTTTTATTTACTTTCATTGCTGTAAGTAATTTTGTATCAAGTTTGATTGCTTTTTATCAGTTGATTTCTCATCCTATAAGACTTTATTATTTCAATCTGTTTCTTGTTCCCTCTGATTGTTCTGCTTGCTTTTTCTGTATTTCTTTACTTTGGACATCTAAACTTATATGTATATGTCTGTCCAACTTATTAGGCATAAAAATTTTTATTGATGCCTTTTGATTTTATATCACTGTTAGACACTTCACTTTAATTTGCTGCTGACTGCCTTTGTAGTTCTCTTGTAAAAAGGGAAAAAGTAAAGCAGTAAAGACCAATACAGTGACCATGTCCAGAAGCATGTGTTG